GCGCTCAAGGAGGGTTACTGCTCCTCCTCATTGTGTCCACCTCCCCACGGCCATGCCCTGGACATCAGGAAACCCAGCGCCGCTCCGTGACGTCCCTTCCAGCTCCGCTCTCTGATCACTTCTGAGCACCTGCCCTGGTCAACCAGCTTTCTACTCTAATGCCTCTGCTTAGAGAGCCCTCAACCCTTAGTGGCGTCCGATGTGGATGCCACAGCCCTCCTCGCCGTCCACCAACTTGAAGGCTGTCTAAGCGGAGGCATTAGGAAGGGAGCTGGACAAACGGGACATGGTTTTGAGGTGAAGGGGGAGGAGAATGCGAGAAAGGGATATGATCGAGTGGCGCGGGGCTCCCTGAAGCCCAGGCGTGATCTTGGGCTGGGGGGCATTGGGGGCATACAGGATGTGGAGGAAGTGAAGAATGGCCCTAGAATTTCTAGACTGAATGTCCACCTAGTGCAGCTCGTGGGCCGAGAGGTCGCCTGCAGGCTTCCAAGGGGGAACATTTCACAGGACTGGCCTGTTCAAGACTAGGGAGGGGGAGGAGATTGGTACCTATGCCACTGGTGGGCCGCTTGGCTTCTCGGACAAGGTCTGGACATCACAGGTCCTATCCTATAAGCTTAGGTTGCAGCTAGATCAGAGAGGAAACCTCAGGAGTCAATACTGGGGCGACCTCACTGGCTCCCAGAGCGCATGCCCAGAACCAGCCAATCTGAGCACAGCACCAGCTTTTACACACAGCTGTTCAAATATCACTGAACTTCACCCAATTGCTTTGGTTCCCAGAGCAGGACTACAGAAATAGCCTTGCTGAGGCCTTTTGAGCAGGTTGTTTTTCATTTAGTGATACTCATCATCATATCTCTTCACCTTAACCTGGCTTGGAAATTCCACTCAGAAGATGGATTTTCCCTACAGTTTGCGGCTTTCCGTTTCTCTGGACACTAGAGGGCAGTAGTGCATCGTGTTCCAAGCCAGGCCGCTTCTCCCCCGCCCTTCCTGCTTGAAAAAACTGGCCTGAGTCTTTCCCATAATTGGTAGAAACTTTCTAGGCCTCTGCAAACTTAGCAGCCACCTTTACTAAATTGCTCCTTCTGGGGGTTCAGAGGTGAAAACTTCTAATCTACAGACTGGAACACTTAGCCTTTCAAATCGCCTTTTCTTCTAAGCTACTCCTTAGGTTGCTTAGCAACATTTACTTATGCTTCTCAGAAGGGGATCCTCATTGGCTTTCCTCAACTCATTTTGGTTTTATGGGCCTTTATGAATCTATACTTCCCTTATGGCAGTCACTCAAACCTCACTGTCGAAAACTGGGGGGAGGAGGGGATGAAGAGGAGCAGATAAAATATAATAAAGTGATTCAAACAGCGGTTCCATCCTCCAATATTAACTATTAAGAATATTTTGTGATCAGATACTTAGAGATTTTTTCATCAAACACAAGATGCATTTAAATGTATTAAGGTTCATTTTTGCATCAGCATACCCTCCTCTTTTAACCTCCTGTTGTTCTCAACAAGGAACACATTCCACAGTATGCCCCATTGACCAGCATAAATATGGGTCATCTTGAGTCAACGTGAGATAAAACAAGGAAAGAGCATCTGTTCCAGTCAATGGGGGAACAAACTACAGAACCAGTGGCAGTCACAAATGAGACATCTCAGAAGGGAGGTGAGTCAAGAAGAATATGGACCATGCACATGTTGCATCTAACCACACTTCGAAGGTTAGAAGCAAAGGCAGGGGCCTTGTC